AAGTTGCCCAGAGGCCTAGTAAGCCCAAAATGGGGTACCAAGGGTGGGGGTGACACATGGGTGTGGGGCATGGGGGGGCAGGGGGGAGAGTGCGTGCATGGGTAGGGGGTGGGATGGGTAAGAGAGCCGAGGTGGCACAGTGGTTAGAGTGCAGTACTGCAGGCCACTTCAGCTCACTGCTATCTGCAGTTCAGCGGTTCAAATCTCAAGGTTGACTCAGCTTTCCATCCTTCCGAGGTGGGTGAAATGAGGACCCGGATTGTTGGGGGCGATATGCTGACTCTGTAAACCGCTTAGAGAGGACTGAAAGCCCTACGAAGCGGTATATAAGTCTAACTCCTATTCCTATTGCTATCATGCATGCATCTGCATTATTGACAACAAAAATCTTAGCCACCACCACCACCCTTTCCTAAAACCTTCCTTCCTTCGTGAAACGCAGTATTCAAAGCTGGCTTCTGGAAAAGCTAAATTCGGCCAGGTTCCTGGTAGCCAAGCCCATCCCTGAGACATTAGCAAACTGACAAAGTCAAGAGAAGAATGTTTTAAGTGATAAAAGCCAGTGCCGTTTACCTGGAATAAACCTCACGGACTTTGTGGTCTTGAATCAAAGCAAGAAGGTTTGTGTTTTTAACCATGAATCGATCAATGGTGTTTAAATAAAGGTGTGTTCTGTCAAAGCTCTAATCTCTCCATCAGATTGAAAACAGTCTAAGAAAGCGAGGAAAAGCAACTTCCATTCCAACCCCTGCCTCGTAGATAATACCCGAATTATTTTGGGTGGTGAATCAAGGGGGCCTTGCTCATTAGAAGACGGTTGATCCAACTTTCAACTTCCAACTTTCAGACGGAAGCAACAGTTTCAGGAGGTGGTTTGCTACTTAGCTGGAGCAGCCCACTGAGCAGAAAAAATAAATAATTACACGATTGAAACCCCAACTCCTCCCCGATTCTTCCCTAAAAATCAGCCCCTTGCATGATGATTTTCCCCCCTTCCTTTTCCCCTTCGGCTTAGCGTGCTGAAAACACAGCACAGGCGAAGACCACAGCCACAAACCGCTGCATGACATGACAGCACACCTTTTAATCCCGGTAAGGTGCCTCACTCCCTGCAGGAAAGCCTATTTGGCCCCACCTGGGCAGCCAGGTAAACACACCTGATCCAGGACGAGCCTCTTAAATCTTGACGTCCAAATGAAAAAGCTTAAATGCCCTCAGACGTTTGCTGCGTGTAAAACCCAGGAGGTGATTTTGACCTGGGGTCTAAAGACGGCTGAATAATATTTGCCTTCTGCTCCAGGGCCACGTTAAGAGCCCCAGCTAAAGAACCAGCATTTCCCCTTTCAGTCATTCATTCAATCCTGGCAATTCTGCCCCACCAGAAAGACAGACCCCCACCTGTGGGTCTCCTCCCTAGCCTGGGAGAATCAGGTGGCTTGGCCAGGACTGCGCTCTTTTGGCCAATCTGCAGGGGTGACCATGCTGGACACTTGAAAGGGCTAGTTTGAACTCTTCTATGGAACTAGGACTTCCTATGTTTCATGGACACCAGCCGAGAAGAGCCTAAGGTCCCAGTTGGATTTTGAGGGATTTTTCAAGGGCCCTCCAATCTTAGAAGTTGGGGTAACGGAGCCGGAGTGGCGCGGTGGTTAAATGCAGCACTGCAGGCTACTTCAGCTGACTGCTAGATCAGCAGTTCAGCAGTTCAAATCTCACCGGCTCAGGGTTGACT